TCCTCCGCCCGCCCGCCTCCCCCCGCAGCCCAGGCTCTGCCCCCGGGGCGCCCAAACCCCTGCCCCCGGGGCGCCCCAGCCCCCCATCGTGGGGTCCATCACATCCCCCACCTTGCAGGGGACAATCTGGGGGACAGGGCGGAGGGCATGCGGAGGTGGGGAGGCTGCTGGTTGGCGAGCTGCCTCAGAGAGGGGGGTGAAAAGATTTGGGGTCTCAGGGGTGGCCAGGTGGCCCTGCTGCAGGGCTGTGTGGGGCCAGGGCAGGGTGGGAAGGAGGGTGGGTGGGGTGGCAGAAGGAAGGAGGACGAGCCATGGAGGTGCATGGGAGGTCACCTGGAACCATCGCTCCCCCCTGCAATAAACTGCCGATAAAAGTTTTTAAAAGCAGAATATGGGGCATCCATCCTGCAGCCACCATCCTCCAGCCCCACAGGACCACTTGGGCAGAAGTGAGCATCCAGGACTGGGATGCTTGCTCCTTGCTCTGTGCCCTCCCATCCTCATCCACTGGCCAAACTGGGGCATCTCAGGTAGGAAACCCACCTTGCACAGGGCTGGCATTGGAGCGACATGGTGGGAATCAGCCAGAGCATGGAAGGAAGCAAGGACCTCCACCCCGGAGCAAGTCAGACCCTCTTTGGAAAAGGCCCTGAGCACCATGACAGTGAAGCAGGGCTGTGCTGGAGCTCCCACCCCGTGGAGCCCACCACAAGCTTGCTCTCTTCACACTGGGACTGCTCCACCATCGCTGAGGCAAGGCTGCGAACAGGATTGGGATTAAAAACAGCATCGTGCGAGGGAGAAAGGGATTATTTTGAATCTAGAGCGGTTTATCGCAGCGTGGCTACTGCGGGACATGCAGGCGGGCTGGCTGAGCTCAGGATTTTCTCCACGGGGGCCAGGACCTGCTTTACAAGGCATTCGTGGGGGCTGTCACTGCCCCTCTTGGCTGCAATGCTCTCCCTGGCAGGGCCAGCATGGGGGTTGCTTCCTAACCCCTCCCCCCCCATGGGTTGATATCACGGGTGCCCATCACCCCAGAGCAGGGCAGGGTGGAGGAGGATAGTCCATCAGCCCCAAAACATGTCTTGAACAGCTTCAGAGCGCCAGGTTGGTTCGGGAGCTCTGAACTGGTGGAGGAGGCAGAGCAGAGGTGACCGCAGAGGACCAGGCCTAATTCTGCCCTCTCACCCCCATGGAGCAGATGCAAGATGCTGCTCTGACCACTTCTGCAGGGATCCCAGACTCTGTCTGTCACCCCACTGAGGCACAACACCTTCAGCGGGCAAGGGCTGTGGGGTGGCTGGCGACTGCAGTGCATGGCAAGGCTCTTTTCCCTTGGTTTTTTGATCTGGGAGAAGAGATAACTTGGGGAGGCAGGGGGGGAAGGGGGGATATGAAAGCTTCTTTATTCAGGGGCTGTTCTGGGCAAAGGGTGCCAGACGCCTTCCTGCAGTTTAGGTGACACCAGAAGCGTGTGACAGCCCTGGGCTGCGTGGGAGTGAGCTCGTCATCGTCACGCTTGGGCATGTTCCCGCTCGCCCGGCTCTACGGAAGGGTTAATGCCTTCGGAGGAGCTGAGCCACCCCACCAGGATGCTTTAACCCTCTCCAGGAGAAACCTTTTCCAGCTCATCCTGGACACAGAGGGGCTGGGAGGATGCAGAGCTCCATCCTCTGACCCCTTCTTGTGCCTTTGGGCGCTGGGTGCTAATTAGGGCCCTCCTGAAAAGGAGCAAATCTCAGCATAATCCAGCATCGGGAGGGAGCTCATCACGGCGAGATTCCCTGTAGATATGTTAGGCGGGGAAATCTATTACTCCCTAATTAAATGGAGGCAGAGATGATTGTTCTTTTTCTATTCCTTATATGTTTCTAAGCATGAAACTCAATTATAAGTGTATCCGCAGAAGGGGATTTGTCTACAAGAGGGAGTGTCTGCTTGGCACGGGATTTTAAAAGCCAGAGCAAACACCTGGGCTGCTGTGGCAGAGCCTCAAATTCCCAGGATTTGGGGGATTTGGGTGGGCACCGCCCCTTGCCCGCTGCCTCTTTGGTGTGCTGACCAGCTTTGTCTGCTTCCCCTGCACTCCCTGCCGCAGGAAAAAGATGCAGAGGCCGGGTTTAAAATAGAAAGCCTTCCTCCGGAGGATGGAGAACGCAGCATTCGCTTGGGAAGGGGTCTGCTGGGAGGCTGCTTTTTGGGGAGGGTGAGGGGCATCAGTGGGGTCTCAGGGGCCACCCGTGGGTGCTGGTGGGGGGGTGACCGTTCCCCGCACAATGGCAGGACACCGCCTCTCAAGCGGGGACTCTTGGAGGGCATGTGGCTTCATAGCTCCAGATAAGAAAAGCAATCAAAGGCAGCCTTAAATCTTCACTGTATAATTGTGGGCTTAAATCAGCAGTGGGATGAGGGGGGAAATACTCCTGGCAGGGCTGGGGACGGGGCATAAATCCACCAGGCACCTTCTTAGCACCCCAGATCTGACAGCTGGGAGCACTTGGGGACCTGGGTGACACCAAGCCCTGCCCAGGCAGCCCTGTCCTGCCCCGGCATGGCTCTGCGGGGCAGCACGGCACTGGGCATACTGTCACGTCCATACGTGCGTACATACCGGGTGCCTATAGGAGATAAGTGTTGGGTGTGCACAGCACAAGACCATGTGTGCGCATGAGTAGTGTGGGTATTGAGCGTGTATTTGGCCATATATTGAGCGCACATGTTGTGTGTGCCTAGATACACAGAGCTTATGTAAATTGGCTGGGTATAGTGGCCGTATTCTTACCACATATGTATGTGTACAGCGTACGAGTATCGGTACACATGTCGAGAGCATGCGTGTATGTGCCGGGGGAAATATTGTTTGTATTTCTCTATGCAGAGAGTTTCTAGAGGCTGTGTCCGCAGACTATATATATTTATAAGTCCATTATATTTTCCTTTGTACGCTCTATTTACGTATATTTACATTGTGCATGTAGACTGAGTGCACATGAAATGTGTGCGCATGACACGTGCATGTAGTGCTTACTTGTGCATATATATTTTTATATATATATGAGTGCAGACAGCATAGATGTGTGTATCTAGTGTGTGTGTATCTATATACATGGTATGTGTGTGAATTCTATGTAATATGCATATAGATAAATGCAGAAATACAATGTGGATACTGTGTGCGCGCATGGTGGAGGGGGAGAAAAATATATATATTGATATTTATAGAGCCTGCTTTGCCTGTAGCTGCGGCGATGAGCCTCCGCGCCGCCTCCCACCTCCCTGGGTTGCCTTCAGCCGTGCCGGGCTGGACCGGGGGCTGGACTGGGCTGTACCGGGCAGAGCCCGGGGGGGACACAGCGGGCTCAACCTCCCCCTCGCCCCCATCAAGCACGGACCCGGCTCCACTTTCAATCCCTTTTATTGACTCTTTCACAGACAGAAGCTCGCAGAAAGGCGCCCACGGCTCTCGCCGGCCCCGGGGCTCCCGAGAAACCGGACTGCGGAGGTGGGGGCGGCGGC